TTATTTAAATCATAAATGCTTAAGGCAACGTTTTGCGTTGTCCGCCAAGGTTAAAACATCATGCTGAAATTGAAATGGAAGAGGTCAAGTTGTCAGCGTCCAAAAACTGCAAAGTGGTTCCAGTCATTTCGGTTGAAGACACCCACAGACACAGACGACCCTTGGATCAGCGACTTGACCTGCAATGAACAAGGGGATCAGTTCTTTATAGATAATGACAACAAAAAATTGAAGCACTATTCCGAAAGTCATGAGTTGATAGCTGAAAGGGCATTACCCGAACCAACAGCAGTTTGTGCCATAGGTAATGGCAAGACCATTGTGTCCTGTTCGGATGGCTGTTGGGTAATACCGAGTAGACCCGGGGCGTTCCACAGGTTTGCCCAGGGAGACATGGTTTCCCCTGTCAGTTTGACAACCAACGAGCGAGGACAGGTGTTAGTCTGCGATGAAGTCCAAAAATTAGTTTGCGTGTACGATGTCGAGACGGCCCGTTTGGTTGATCGGATTAAAATTGCAGTGTGTAAAACACCCAAACATATTGCCATTCATGGGCTACACGGTGGAATTCTAGCTGTGTCAGACCATGGGGGACATTGCGTTTATGGGGTGACACCCCAGGGCGATTCCATATTTAAATACGGGGTTTCAAACGTGGCAGGATGTGGAGATGGCCAACTTAATTCCCCATGGGGAATATGTTCCAACGCATTTGGGGAAATACTTGTCGCTGATTGGTTAAACAGTCGAGTGGCGGTTCTAGGACCTGATTGGCTGTTGAGGTCGCATGTGCCGGAAAAATGTCATCTCAGTTTACCAACTGCAATTACCATGAATCAACACGGACATCTGATAATAGCGGATAGAATGTCTAGACGATTGGCCTGTGCTGCAAGATGTCAGATATTTGAATACTGTTAATTACATGCATTCGGGAAAACGGATGCCGAGATCCAAAGTTCTTCCAAACTGTGTATGTGGAGATGTTGTCTAGTTTAAAAAAATGCTTTTAAACTGATAAAAACTGCAATTTTACATGCAGACCTATTGAAATCATACAGACGTCCATTTTAATTTATATATGGAAGAATTGCTAACTAGATGGATATCCAAAATCATATTAATTTTAAACTTTAATTGAGTGTCTAAGGGCGCATTCCCATAGATTTTAGATCGATCTATCCCCGTGGGGAGTCTCACTAGATTACTGTCAGATAATCCCGCCTATTACAAACTGTAAGGGGGTAATTAACTTTCGTGCCCGCTCGGCTGACAGCTATTTAGCGTGAACCCCCAGGGAGTTAGGTCGATCTAGTTGGATCTATCTTATCTCTGGGAATGGGGTCCAAGTAATGGGCCACGCTAGTAGGCTGTCACAAAAATAAATAAATATGATATTATATAGATAGAAACGGAGATTCTATATGATATTATTTAAATGTGTCGTTAACAGCCAAATTTAAAGGGCTTGACGAAGACTGCAAATCCCGATTTTGCTATATAACCACAGTCTAAAAAAGTTATCGGGTAAGATATCTTGTCATAATAAGATGGATAGATTACAGCAGTAAGTATCGCGCAAAAAAGTGTCCTTTTTGAAAAAGTTCTATGTTTGAAAGTTTAGAACCAAGTAATTTCGCGGATTCCCCCATGCAGCATTAAGCAGAGATTTTAAAACCTATATTTAGCCTGGGGATTCCCCTTTTCTATTTAGCATACCTACGTAACCAGGTATTTTTTCGACCTATAAATACATTTGTTATTGTGGACATAAAAGACTTGCGCAGTTTTAGTCAACTTTCATTCTAGTAAGGAGCGACTTTGGCTTGTCGAATTTAATAGATCGTGGGCGGGTGTTAATCCCTAAAGTCAGGTGGATAAATTTGACCGGATCCTGACAGTTTATGCTGGTTCGGCCTTTGAGGGACCGTCTGAAAACTGCATCAGTAGTAGCAAAGATTAAAGGTATGTACACTTTAAAAACTTTTTTGTATTCTCAGGTAAGGTAAGTTAAAGGATACAGACGGCTGCGAATCTGTTGTCTTGGAGCAGTGGTTCGGCCACTGTTGGCGGTGAGATCCGGGCTCTACATACCAATGTACTGATGAGCACATATCAGAGGCAGGGAATAGAAGTGTTAACGCACGAAACTGCGCACTTCATACTGACATGCATGTACGTGTATTGGATCCTAGGGGGAGGTTCCTCAAACCAAACTTAAGTCCCCCAAAACCAGTCTAAGCTTAGTTTTAAACCAGAAATTTGGTTTAATTCTGTTGTAAAGTTTTAGAATTCGAGGACGAATTCTTTTGAAGAAGGGGTGTATGTTGTAAAGCAAATTACTTACACTTTCACTAATTACAGATAACAATTAAAGCGGAATCAAAAGAGTAAAAGGACAGATAGTTATTGAGTGTAAGTTAAGTTTCTCCAAGAGTCAACAAGTGTAGAACATGTTTTTAGTGTCAGGAAAAGATGGAAAAGGTCAAAGTCAGTAACAGTTAATGTAATTGGTTAATTTCATAAGATATAATAATTTTGATCATCTATTTATCACATGATAACTGAGTTTTGGATAAGGTCCAAATATGAGTAATCCAAATAATATTTTAGATATCTTTAATTGAAAACAAGTATCTTAGGGATTACCTGATAAGGAAATGTTGCATGGTGACTTGCAACATGCGAATGGAAAATATTTTGTAATCACGCAAAGACAATGGAAAAGAAAACAAGTAAATGCGTGATCAGTACGGAGAAATTGAGTATAAATATTTGTGAAGTTGTAAGAAGCAAGAGTCGGTGAATAAACGTTCGGAAGCTCCAAACTGCTGTCGTCATTTCTCACTATAACAATTCTGTTCAAGATAAATTCATAGCAGTCCATTTAAATGAAATAATTATTGATCTGAAACATATGGTATGTCTTTCTTTTTGTAATAGTAAAGTAGGTAAGATATTTCACTTAAATTTTACGTGTAACTGGACTACTTCTGATCTATCTTGGTCCGAAAAAGACTTTTTAAAGATTAAAATCTTTGTTTAATTTAACTATGAAATTCCTTTGCGAGACGGGCCCCAGGTGAAAAAAAAAGCAATTCTTCACTCTGGTTGAACTCAAGTTTCAAGGGATTCGGCTATTTTCTACTCTAATACATAGTCTGTAATGTGTTTAGTTCTGTCACTGTATTCTACCTTGAAAACGGCATATAATAGGGATGAGACTGTCATTTAGTGAAAAGGGTCGGACAATATGGCGTGAGGCCCAAGGGGCCGCCTAGGCCAATGATATTTTTGGCTCCCAAAAAGTTGGAAATCCGCTGAAATTCTCATCCCTGCTTAAAACATTTAGTTGGGGAACAGCCACAAACATTTGGCATTATAGAGAAATAATTGTGCTGAGAAAGTGCAACATAGCGATCGAAGGAAACTATGAATTGAAACGAAACCTATATTTCACTGTATTGATGACGTCTACAGGTGTTCAGGTGCTTTCGGGATTTCCACTGTTTACTTTCGTGCTAACAACTAATTTTAGTCGTGTTGTATTGATTTTTTTTCGTTCATTTTAGTTATAGAGTTTAAATGAATGAATGAATGCATATGTTTTGTTCACATATTTGATAAAAAATAATTATTAAAAATTAACTGAATTGCTTTCTACGACTCAAAATAGGCTTATAGCAACCAAGTAAAAAACACCTGGTGCATAACTCCAGTTATATCGATCGCTTAAATCTATATTCTTTATACATTGGTTTTCCGGTAGATCTAACAATGGGGATATTTCAATCGTTCAAATGTGTCGCAAAAATTTGGACTTGGTGTTTTTATTGGCTTTATGCTGCTGTTGCTTTTTCTTACTTCAACCGAGGCGAACGGTATACAATACATGTATTGTTGTAGGTAACAGCATGACTGACAATATAACTTACAATCCTCTGTTTATCTTATCTAAAATGTATAATCTAAAAGTTAAATGGCTGGGTTCATGGCACTGAAAATGCCTTGTTTGCGCGACAAGAGTCGTAGTGTAGTTAACTAACGAATCTGAAAGTGCATTGTATCTATACGTTAAGTTTATGCAATATCTTTTATTATTATTATTATTATTATTATTATTATTATTATTGCCAAACTTGCAACCCGAGGGTTGGATAATTACAATCATTGCATCATAGTTGAATAAAACCACTAGTGAGTAAGAAAAAAGGAATATTAAAAGACATATGTAAACAAATTTAAAACAAAATAACAAAAATGCAAAGCTGAATAAAAAGAAATAAAAGTCTATCAGTTAATTTTGAAACTTGTATATCGCACTTTTTAAAAAGTCACTCATTGATCGTTTGGTTTTAATTTTAGGTGTTTTGAATGTCTCCTGTTCCCTTAATGCAAATTTGTCATTTTGTTTTGGTTGTAAAAGATAATGCAATCTATTATCTGGTTCATTTGATATACTAATAAACAATTTTTTGCACGCATTGAGCCGTCTTTCACGCAGTAGTTCAAGTTTACTATGTTCACAAGCAGCGTCATATTCAAGATCAGGATGAATTATCTTAAGAGCTCTTTCTTGCGACTTTTCTACTAGGGCAGTCAATTCATTCGTTAACCCTAAGTGCCAGACAGGGGCAGCATATTCTAAAACTGGTCTTATGACTGTCTGGTTATAAGTTATAAGGTCATCAGTTGTAACGCCTGCACGCTTCAGGTGCTGTAGAAAATAAATCTTTTTGCTTGCTTTTTTGGTGATTTAAAGATACAAGTACTTAAACTACTGAAACGTAAGACAAATAAGTAGGTCCCTAACTATAGTTCAAGACTGTTGCTGTTACAATTCAGATTCTGTATTTACTAAACTGAAAGATTTCATGTCTTATCTATGTCTTCACTAGATGTTTCGACCTAAGAGTGAAGGTATTCCTTTGAGGGTATCCCCACATGGGGCATCCAGATACCAAAGCGATGACACGGCCCCAGGAGCTTCTAGATACCAAATGTCCACCACACACCAAGAGCCGTCATCACCAGTGGGACTGAAGCCGTATATGACAGAGCCGCAACCGTTGCTGACTGTAGATAGTAACGGAAAATTGCAGCTAAACGAGGACACCATGAGGACCATAGAAAACTGCACTCAGCCGGTGGTGTGCGTGGGGGTTATCGGACCCGCCCGCACCGGGAAATCGTTGCTGATGAACCGTCTTCTCGGACGGCAGTCAGGTTTTGATTTAGGGTCGACTCTCGACTCCAAGACCAAGGGGATATGGGCCTGGCTGGTACCACACCCAAAAGATGCCAATTTGTCTTTGTTACTGTTGGATACTGAGGGTCTGGCCCACGCCGCGGACGGATGCTGTGATAGAGAAAACTATATATTTGTTCTGACTGTTCTGATCAGCGGGTGCCTGCTGTATAACTGCCAAGGGGTGTTCGATGCGGAAAAGGTGGACAAATTGGAGTATCCTTTTTATCTGGTAATACGATTTGATAGCATATTTGGTAAAATGGTGTGTGTGTGTGTGTGTGTGTGTGTGTGTAATGCATTTGTCTACTCTATTTCTACCAATTTACTAACTGAACAAATGTGTTTTATTTATGTCACACTTTTTGTAGAGATTAAACATTATTGCCAGCCTGTTGGAAGTTTCATTGCCTTAACGCACTTAAAGACTTATTGCAAACCTGTCGCAGCACATGGTGGACAAGATGGGTTCTGGCCGAGACACAGACGTGCTGCAATTGTTTCCAGCGCTGTACATCGTTGTGCGAGACTTCACGCTCGAGCTTGTCATGGACGGGGAACGTTGCAGTCCTGATGAGTACCTGGAACGCTGCCTGAAGACAAAATTTGGCCACAATAAGGAAACAAGAACCCGCAATGCCACCAAAGACGCCGTGAAATCCTATTTTCCAAACAGAGCGTGTTTCGTTTTGCCCCGCCCGACCGAAGAGGAAAAGCTTAGCGCTTTAGAGGAACTGGGAGAGGAGGATTTGAAACCAAATTTCGTCAAGGGGGTCAACGATATATGCGACAGGATCCACAAAGAGGTGAAACCTAAATCTATTCAAGGAAAGGTGTTCATTGGTAGAGGTGGGTATTGCTTGAAAAAAATATTAGATAACATTTTAAGTTTTTTACTTTGTTTGTTGTTTTTATCTGTTCATTCATGCACTCGATTTCACTTCATACGCACAATATAGTTTTTGTTATTGAGGCTTTCATCTGTTTGTTCATTTGTCAATTTAATTATGCATTGAGACAATTAAGTGGCCTATTTCATGGCAGTGGACCTTTAATTATATGTCAGTTTAACAATCGACAAAAGCAGCTGTGCAAGAGGTTAAAACGAAAAAAAGCATCGGTCCATATCTAGATTAACAATTTGATAAAAACGATAGTTGTTAAAATATATCCGTTAAGGTCTATACCTGTAGAAAACTGAAGTTATATGAAGATATTGTCACGTTCCATTTCAGTGCTCGGCACGCTGATACGAGACTGCCTCAAGGCATTTGAAAGCGGTTATATTCCAACAGCCCTGAGTACACTGGAGGCTCTTTCCAAAACTGAATGTAGCAAAGGTATAGAAGCCGCTCTGGAAATGTATAGGGCCTCAATGGACGTGCTGAAAGAGGATTTCCCTGTGACAGAGGAACAGCTGGTCGGTCACCACTACGAGACATTTGAAACTGTCGTAAAACCAGAATTTGATAAATACGTAGTTTTCGACGACAAGGCAGACGGGTTCAGAAAATTAGAGGTAAAATTAAGGTCATTACAGTTATACATGTACAATATGCCAAATCCTAGCTGTAAAAACAACATTATTATGTTAATTATGATTATTATAAGATTATTATAAGATTATTATATAGCATAAGATATAAGCATATTTACTGCTTCTCTGTCTAGTGTTTACTTACTACAAATATAACTTGCTACTTCTTATATTACCTTACCTATTTGACAAAGACTCTTTAGAGTGTATGACCTCCGTGGTGTTTGTGTGATTTTTATCAAGACATTTTGTCTAGACAATCTAATTTTTTTTATTATCAATAGATAAATTACTGCTTTGATTGTTTGACACTGACACTGACAAGCTGTTTGTTATATCAGGAGGCCATCGCCAATCATTACAAATATCTCCGAAAAATCAATGAGGAGGATTCGAGAGCACTTTGCCAACAGATAGTCAAAACACTGCACGAGGTTTGTGTTCTGACCGCTTTCGAAGAAAACTCGTATACTGGCGAATATGGCCTTAAGCGCTTTGATGAGGATGTGGAGAAGGTTTTCTGTTGGTTTGGAAGATACTCCCATAAAGGCCCACCAGAAATTGTCTCGGCAGCATTAGAGGAATATAAGACTAAAATCGGGGATCTCAGAACGACCATTGAAGTAAACGCGACGGAAATTGCCAGAAAAAATGAAGAAATTGATGAACAGCAACGCAGAGCGATTCATGCAGGGGAGCAGCGAAAAAAATTAGAGAGAAATTTCGACGAATTTAAAACCCAAGTACGCCGTAAAGAAGAGAGAGATCGCCGCCAATTGAAAGAACTGACAACTAAACTTGGAGATTTGCGTTTGCAACACAAAGAAGAAATGCTAGAAGTGCAAAGAAAAGCCAAGTGGCAGGATATGGAAATGCAACGCGCCAATCTACAACTTCAGCACAGCCTAGAAATCCAGAAAGAACGCAATCAAGAACAAAGAGAAACCGAAAGGAATTTAAAAGAAAGGATGCAGATGCTCAAGCGACAAAACCAGAGATTAGAAGTTTGTTTAGAACAGTTACAGGAGAACGATAGCGACGAAGGTAAGCAATTTAAAAATATTATAACACAATTTCCTAACGGTACCATGAAGTACTGTTTGAATGATTTTATATTTGACTTTTTTGTTCTTTTCGTGCACTTATATGATGTGCTAGTCCGATTCGAGTGTTTTATAATTCTATGCCGAAATCACGTAGAAAGTATGACCTATGAAGTCATCTGTTTTTGTTGTGACTGTCTTAATACTGTCTTTTCTTTCAGATTGTATCATAATGTAGACGGACACATTGTAAGGGGCCAGCTGCCCATACAAGACAGAAGAGATGTCATGCATATCAAAACGGATATAGACCCGAAATAACGTGCCTTAGGGTCACCGCTGATGACCAGTGTTTTCAGTTATGTTTTATTAGACCCACAACGATTTTATGTAGGATTTTTACCTTTTATTCGTTAATTAATGGGCTCTTTTTATTCAATCCAATTCTGATTTAAATAACCAATCCGGTGATTTTTTTTCATACGATCAACTTTTTTTGTTTGTTTGTTTTGGAATCTTCCTTATTGACAGGTTTCGACCTAATCATGGGGATGCATATCGGTGCCCGAACTGTACTTTTCTTTACCACTAAGGTGTATATAGTGGTGGTGTTACAGAGCAGTGGTATGATTCTACGTTTGTACGGTAAATAAAGTGCCATCCACAGCATACAGTGTCCTCTCACAGCAGGGCGCAAAACGCGGTCAGCTGAGACGCAGTTTCAACACGATCTTTGAAGCCATACTACGGGCGTTGATATTGTAAAAGTCCAACGCACCTTTAAGCACCTAGGGTGACAACAACAACAACAACAACAAAAGAAAAGACTTAAAAGACCAAAATGTTGATTTACTGTTATTGAGAATAAACCCGCAGTGCTGTGGTTTACAAGGAGAAAGTTGCGATTAGCCAGTAGGCTCTACCTAAGTACAAAGTAAAACAGGTTCTTAATTTGAAATGCGATATAAACGCACTCATAACCAGGTGGTTAAGGGGTGTCATTTTGCTGCCATGGTAACGGTTGATGGAGTCCATTAAGGCTGGTTAACAGTACGTGACCTAAGTTCTGCGTCAGTTAACAACACTTTTGAGAAGTAGAGAGGAGAGTAGGCCTATAAGACATGGAAGTAACATTAGTTAAAAACCAAAGACCCGTGTGCGGTGTTTATTTTCTACTTTTCTTTAATGTCGTCGTATTTTCAATAATCACGCTACTCATGGCAATGGACTATGTTAAACTGAATAGCTACCAGACTGTGGGGCAGACGAAACCATTCGTGGACAAAGAAATAAAAGCGAGTAACTTCTTTTCTTCTTCAAGACAAATTAGGAAAGGATTACAAAATCTGCTGACAGCTCCTAATGACGATGGCGGTTCTATTTTAGGCATCGGAGATAAAGTCGATGAGATTCGATCAGTGCTTTGGCCGTATCTTCACACTAATTCAATTGCCCTCAGTGAGTTAACTTTCGACGCTAGGAAGAAAATTTATGAGAGAAAGGGGAAAGCTTTGATGTTCACGTATTGGAATGGATCGACCATGCCCTCGTATATCGAACTGTGTATATTGACGGCGTTGTGTCATAACTTTGAGGATTTTCAATTATATTTGCTAAATGCAACAGAATTTCAAAAAAGCGTTCCCTACACCCACCCAGCTTTTACGTCTCTAACCCCCGTTCATCAAGCCGATTATTTTCGTGCCGCCATGCTGAACCAATATGGCGGCATATACATGGACGCGGATACCCTTAGCTTTGGCAGCTTGAAGGCGAAGTTAAACATGCTGTCGGACTACGATTTCATTTTCGGCGGGGATGATTACTGGTTCATTTACATCACCCCTCTAGGTCCTATCCGCGCGCTAACCCCCCTTACCATGACGTGGATGAAAGAGTTGTTCGACATGTTCGATACCGCTGAAAATCAAGAATTTCTCTCGAAGGGAAAGGATAACTTTACATGGGACGCTCTCGTGACAAACAGTTTCAAACGGCTCCTGGATGAATACTTGATTTCTAAAACCATATCGGCCTATCGTTTTAATATAACTGAAACCTGGGGACAGTTTAGCGCAGGTGATTTAATGTCCGAGGGCGATTTAGTGTCCAGGTACCGTGAAACCGATGTATTAACTCTGAATAATGATCTATATTCCGCAGAATATAAAACGCTGAACACTTCCCAAGTGCTCCAGAACCAGAGGGGGCTGTCACAGTTGCTTCGATTATCGCTGAATACTTGTTGGACAAAATTGATATCAAAACTATAGCGTTCACTGCTGCTGTTACACGTGCGACTTAAACCATATATTCTTAAAAAGGTATATGGGTTTATGCCATTCAAGTAATTGTATTAAAATGTTTGTGTAAATAAACAATCGCCTCACGACTCTCTCACTTAAAAAAAGTTAAATACCATTAATGAATCCCCATATTTACTTGCTCAAAATTACTAATCAGATTCTTTTGGTTTTTTATTCTCTTAATGATATACTAGTGTGATAAACTTAAGTCATTTTACGCGATTTGAAATTCATTTACTCATCAAGGTGACAACAGAACGAGATTTATTACCATATAAGGCACGAGGAACAAACTTAATTACACTAACCGCATGGACCGGTATGCACCCAGGTGGCTTGTTGTCAACAAGGACACCCGCTGAGTTTGTTTTTCAAAATAAAGTTCGGTCAAGCAAAATTGATGGAATGGTCAACAAGATGGGATACCCGCTGAGATTTCTTTTCAAAATATAGTTAGGTCAAGCAAAATTGATAGCATGGTCAACAAGATGGACAGACCTTCATTTTGAGAAAATCAGAATTATTTTAGCACCTTTCCTTAAAAAATACGCATTAAATATAGTGGTTTGGTTATGGAGGATTTACAGATGAACCATGGAAAATCTCATTGCTGTTGTTTTAATCTTCCATGTGGCTCACATTGTGTGGATTTTACATTTCCACCCCTAAATAGCAGATAATAAATAATAATTAAGTCCTCTTTGAATGTGCTGCAATACTTGTTAAACAATGCATTTATATGTTTTTAAAAGCAAAAAGCAAGAAAGTTACTACTCATTCTTCGAGGTATCAGTTTTGCAGAGAAGTCATTGTAGCGGTGTTGCGATAATCCGCAGATTGACCGGAAGGCGCGAGTTCTTCTCTGTCAAGAGTTTGGCCTATCTCCGTTTTTAAGCAGCCATACGTTTTGTACTCGACGAAATTATTTTATAATTAAAGCCCACATTACATTCCCTATGCGATGTCGGTACAGTGCTTGTATACAGCCCGTAAATCCTTTTCCGTGTGGCGTCTGTACGTAAGCAGCCAGTGGCCGTGCAAAATCGTACGGATTCACGGCCTCCGTAGCCTCTACGATTTTGTTAAGGTTAAACCTTGGGCAAAATTTGAAAATCGTTAGCCCGTAGGCCGTAACAGTATCGGCGATGGCACTGCACAGTTCCCACACGGGCATCGTTTTTGGACCTGCGGTGATCGTGATAACGGTTGAACGAGTTGCTTGTGTCTTTCCTTTTCACTTTTGGTGGTTTTCGGAGTCATAACGATAATAAAGATGTTTAAAACTTAGAGTAATTCACTTTTATGAATTTAAAATTGTGCGTTTCCTTATTCTGGCCAAATGGGTGCTAAAAATTATGGGGGGCTGTAGCGACAACGTATCGATCGTCAATAGACCTCAAGGCCACGGCACCCGCTGTGTCTGCAGGCAACTCGTCGTAACCTGTAACTATTTACGATGTCAAAAATGAAAAAAAAAAATCGCATGGAAAATCGTATACGATTTCATCGAACGACAACCGTGGCATATGTAATCTAGCTTTAAGTTTGGACATGTAATGGTGCAAAGTTTATGACGTTTTCACGAAGCAGAGCACTGGACAGCTTCATACCAACCGGTCAATGCATAAAAAAATAATAATTTCAAAGGATATATTGCCTGCAGACACGTCTTTAAAGTTTTTACGGTATGAACAGGGTAAAGATACTATTGTTTAACGGTCAACTCCCTAACGATTCCCGCCAACATTTACCTATTTCTTCCACGCGCTGCACTAATCACGTCTTTGATCTTAGTGATGTTTTATATTAAACAAATTAAGAGGTACACATGTTGTGCTCAATGAATCCGACTTCCTTCCGTTTAGTATTGCAACTGCATACTATTTATAACATTTTTAAATAAATAATTTAGTTCAATGCGTTTTTCGTACCATTTATCGCCTTTAAGGTTCGAAGCTCTAGAGGATAAAGATATCACGTTGTAAAATTTTCAAAGGCGGGCAGGCAGGATGCCTTTTATTTTGACCCCCCCCCCCCCCCCCCACTTAACACAGACAATCAAAAACTCAAAACCCTTTTTTTAAGTGAATGCTGTATTTCTGATAGTATGCATATGTATATAATAATATTTATATATAGAATCTGTTCATGTTTAGTGTAAAATCAACGTAATTTTTCCACAGTTCATGCAATAAAGAAATAGGTGTGATATAAAACATAAATTAAAGTGCACTTCAACCCAGTCGCATATTAGCTTGTATAACGTGTTTGTAACTGGCCTAATTAAAACTGGTTTCGGATCCCGGACTGCCCAAATGTTTAATGCCAAATTTTGACAACCTAATTTAAGGTGCAACTACACCGAAGATGAGATGATCATTTCGGTGGCAACTGAAGCCAATGTCTCAGCAAACCATAATGGCAAATAATTATGTTTTGTAATAAATCTCTCCACTTGGCAAAAAAATGCAACTTCAATGTAGAATTGCATTGGGTGTAGCAGTAGAGGGGTTTTATTGGCTTTGTGATCAAATATTGTAAATATTTCACTTACTCATAAAGGGCTCATTCCCATTGAAACTATCGGTCTACGTAGCGGGGACTCTCACTGAATTCAAGCAATTTAAACATATGAACACACCTCTTTTTCCAGTGTAGTCATAGAATCACCAGCTTTTTGTATTCTGCTCAATGCCAGATAGAAGGGAGTGTGTTTATCTGTTAAACTGACTGCATGAGAGTCCCTGTGGAGTTGGATCGATCTACATAAACAGTGGAGTTGGATCGATCTACATAAACAGATAGTTACGCTGGGAATGTGCCCATAGTGGTGCACTAAATTAGGCTGTCACAACTGGCCTGGGAACACACTTAAAATCAAGATTAACCAAAAGAGCCTGTGTACAACCCGTATAATGCACCCACCACAGTGGTGGGGCCTCTCTAACATGTCACCTACAGACAGATTACCTAGGTTTCTATCCAGGTGACCCAGTATGTACCTCACTCTCAAGTCTTCACACTTTATGCCTTATACCAGACAATACATCCCTAGGTATGTTACATTACTGTCAATAGGAAAGTGAAATGCATTTGATACAATTAACTTGTCATCGTCTTGTATCAGTACCATATTACACCGGCTCTTCATACACAGCCAAGTCATGTTTCAAGTCAATTTGGGCAGACATAACCCATTACAACAGACCTTAGCCGGTAAAATGTTTATTTTATAAACTAACTCTGAACTTTTCCTAATAAAATGAATTCAGCTATGCTCAGTTGGGTGGAAAAAGTTGACTGGAACCACGACTTGACAGTGTAAGTAACACACCTCTTTCCTGATCAACCATTATATTCAGTAGACAAGTTCCATTTTTTCCCAGAAACTCAACAATTTCTAAAACATCCACTGCTGTTGGATAAAATGTGTTTGAGTTGATCCATTTTCAGGCCTGCCTATGCACATTTTTCTTTTCAAATTAATAAAATAAAATAAATAAGTCCTTTTCAGTACAAGCCCCTTTGCTGAAGTCATCATTCCTTAAATTCTTTTGAAAGAATCCCTGACATAACTCTTTAGGATCGTAAATAGTAATATTTTATCTCGAAATTTATAATAAAGCAATAAGGGGTGGTTCATAATTAATATCTATAATCTTATGGATAGTCAAGTTAAAACATGAATCCTTGGTGCAGCATTCAACTAATTTGTACATATATAAATACAATAATCCTCAATGTTATATTAATATGCAATCAATCTCAAATTTTCCATTGACTAAACAATGTCCGCCTTTGCATTCCTGCCTGTTACACAGCTAGAAACCTAGTCACATTAATAAAAGGTCACTAGCTGTGCACAGCCTGTAAAAATATGATGAATATATTACATATACACAGATTCTGTCACATGACTCGGTGAGCACAACAATGTGCCTTTGTACAATATTTTTACACTATAAAATGTGAAGTTCGGTCAACTCGACTATTGTAGAATGTAGCATCAATTCTGAATTGAAATAGCAGTTTATACTACTCCACAAAATTTTCAATGAATTTTCTGAACTGAGGCTCTGTCTAACCCATTGCACCTTAATTACATACACACTGGCATACATATGAAAGATACTCATTTCAAATTTGTGCCTCGCGCTCCTTAACTCTTTTTTTTTTGACTCATTTAGATATTTTGGTTCAAAATACCAGATTAAAATGAATGAACTTAACTGAATCTCTTCCTACACCCAGACTAACACATCATCATCATTAATGACCTTGTACAAGTCCCTCTTCTTTCAAGTCATGTTTAATTTATTAAAATTACTAAGTTTGAAACTCCACAGATATTCTCTTTTTCTTTTTAGTTTTTGGTGCCTCAACTGTTGCTTCAAGCGTGCATTCACCAACCTTTGCTACAAGTCTGCTACATTATAATAAGGTAGCCGTGGGGACTGGAGGGGGTAGGTAGAGCTCCGATTTTACACAAGAATACATCAGGTAACATTAAGGTCAAACTAACCTCACCAGTTACCAGACAAGCAATATTAAATATATATCAAGAGGGATCGCACTGTAATTGAGCCTCCCAGTTGCAGGTTAGCAAGGAAAGAATGTACAAATACCCATGTACTCTGTAAGTTAGCTATGTGCCAATGTGGTGGATTGAATGTGAATGTGTGTGTATTTATGCATGATTGCACAAGTTTATGCATGCTACACTTCAGTCTGGGATCTATAATGCGGTAAAGAAGACATATGGGCAACAATATACTCAACATAATAACAAAGGCCATGTTATCACTGTCACCTGCAATCATGCAATGTCACCATTACTGTCATTGATGTAAGACTCGCTCTTGCCCACTGTACCATCATTGCTGGCATCAGTACCATGTTTAACTTTCATTTCATATGACTGAGTCTTCCACTTCAAACATCATCTCACTACACAAAACAGCTTACGTTAAGAACCATAACAGGTGTAGCTCTACTGCCTGAAAACGTCCCACCCTGTCCAAATAATATTGACAAATCTGTTCGGACTATGTTGACCACTGTCCAGTAAATACTTCATATGTATTCACAAAGTCTAAGGGCATATCAGAGTGATCAGTTTAGACTTTCTGCATAATTTCAAGGTCTGATAGTCCACTAGTCCACTACTATCATCTGGCATGTCAGTTTTAAAGGAATTGCTTGTTTCAAATATCCTCTTTCAGTCCGAGAAGGCATCTTCACTCCGTATGACTACTGCATAGGTGACTTCTTCACAAGTTCCTTCCTTAATTGGCCTTGTATTACATTGTCCATAATGAGGTACACAGACCCCTCGTTTATGACCTTTTCTTCATTTCATGTAGGGAGCCTCTACAGATTGGTGACATAAACGCTAAACGGGAAAACTCAAGTTTTTTTATACAAGTAATTCCTTACTACCAGAGCACTGAATAAGAACTTGCATAATCTTTATATTCCTGCATTTTAATAGTGAGTTCTCAGATAAATTCACTTCTTAGTTCTTCAATTGTTTTGCTGTCTTCAGATTTGCTGTTACTCTAGACACATATTTTCTCAGATTAAAAACAAATGTGCTGTTATGATAACAATACCAATGGTGAATACTACAGACAACGTGCGTCCACTCGGTGAATGAACTTGTATATGACTAAGGTCAACTGCACAAGTTACTGTACATACACACAAACACACACATAATATGCTGGCTCTCCTTTGGGGCTATGTTACAATTAAGGGAACTCCACTTTCCTCCTTTACACGAGGAGAATACCCTTCATGCTCTTGAGTTTTTTCTTTCTCTGTTGTTCCAGTTCCACATCCACTATATGCCAGGTTCAAAATTCAAAACACTATAATTATACAGTCAAATCGATGAAATGGTTCTGTGAATCAGAGCTGTGTGAAGACTTTACTGATTACTGTATATCCATTGCTTATTAATGCACACAAAATTGAGGATGAGAACACATGTATCACTCTTTACACAGGCAGAATTTCCATAATATTGCATACTTCCAATAAAAAGTTAATGCATGTTATAATTCAAACCATTTTTCTCTTGATAAAAAGGCCAGTGTGTCCCCAAGAGGTAGTCATTATTATTGTACTCGTTCCCACCTCTGCCTCTGAACATTTTTCGTACTGCGATTTACATCTTTAATGATATCTGAGAAAGCTGTACACATAAGTATTGACCTATAGAAAGTTGATTAAGTATCCATTGCTCCAGGTTAACACAGAGGTCAAGGTGCTCTATCTTGTGCCAGATCATAATATTGTGCAACAGTTACTGCATGCACTCTCCCCTCCTTTATCTTTCTTGATCTGTCCTGTAAACAACAAATGGAACAGTATTAGTAAGTAGAACTGGCAACAAAAAGCTAAGTAAATGCACACAAATAATTGGTCCATTCAGTGGTTCATCATCTGGGCCATATCTTATGGAAATATTTGGGATGGAAAAAAAAAAAAAAAAAAAAAAAAAAAAAAAAAAAAAGATGGTAGTCATTCCATGCATCTATTATTTTGAGCATACACACAAAATGCCAGGACTTGCCTCAAGTACCTGTTACCTTCAGCTCCGAGTATTCCACTCTTTCATGAAATAAAACTGTATGTGACATCCACTGTAAATTCTACATTTAAAATACCAATCTCCCGTCATGTATCACTTAGTGCCCTTTGGTATGGTTTAGAACAATGATTTAGCTACTCAAAATTCTAATTTCAAGAGGGGAATATTGGTGTAATATAT